CGGTTCAGGGGTGGCCTAATTGAATAGTTTTGCTACGGGGAACGTGGTAGTTTTCCGAGGGGTCGAAGGCATAATCTCTGGCATCGCTGGTTAAACGAAAACGACTGCCAGGATTAAAGAGCCTTCGCAGACCGTCGATAACGCGTTCAATCGAAGCGCGATGATTCAATAATTACTACACTTGTTCTTTTTATAGCCGGTTTTACGAATACGTTAAATGAAGATCACGTTGAAATTAGCGACATGTGAGAAATGCAGTCGTTAATATCCAACGTGAATTTGGAGGAATATAACACACATCGGAAAGTATAACAACTTCGGTCGAGTCTACTAAAGGAAAAGCTGACCCTGTACGATCTTAGACAATGATTTCGCCCTCTATCTACACCTTCGATAATCCAAGGTGTCGCTTTATCACGCGAAGAATCGCGCGAGACGAGACGAAACACTCGAGAATTCGGTAAACTTTGCTCTCGACACCGTTATCCGTACAAAGGGACGTATTATCGTGGTACTAGAACACGATACGGGACACCATGGGTATTTGTAGTAAATATCTTGTACACACACCCCGGCTGGAGGCGCAGTCGACGCCACGTTTGTGTCGAGGGGCTGGTAAAAGTGAGGGGAGGAAGGGAAGAGTCAGAGCCCCGTGGTATCTCCGTCACATAATACTCCATTATGTACCCAAGAGGCGCACAAACGCAGTCCTTATTTATGCTTCGCCTCGCGGAGATAAAAGAAAGCGAGCGAGATAGGTGTTTCACGGGCGGGAACTCTTTTTTACGTGCCTAGCGTTTCGCGCCGGAGAATCCTGTCGGAAACCGCGCGCACAATGCCGAGCACTCGAATTACCTCGACCATCTCGTTGAGGGATTTTACTTCGATACGTCATGCTTTCTATGCGTGGCTTAATATTCGGTTTGATAAGTAAGGGTAGTTTGGTGTTCGTTAACTGGATGGGGATTGAGGGTGAAGCGCGAGAGCGATTTATAAAAAATAACACGAAAGGAGTGTGAGAATTTATTTAGCACGCATACTTCTAAAGCTATTCATCCTTTTTCCTGATTTTTTCTCGATTATTCCGTCCCGTTTTGAAATATTTCAAGTAATACATATGCACAGTAGTAAGAGTCAACGGTAATTCTGCCAGCCGATAAAGCGTATTTTTGGTAATCACGAAAACTAAGAGTCAGAAACATTTTGACAAGGAAACAAGACAAATTGATGCTCGAAGTATCGAGTGACCGATTTGAACGCGTATAAATTATTTCGTCCACTTAAATCTCACCCTAGACAATTATTGTCAACGCGTATACCAAACTCGCCCGTGAATTCGAACGAATTGTAACTTGCTCTTCTACGAGGAATCGAACGAAAGCGTCATAAGCGCTTGGTCTTGTTCCACATTTCAAGGTAGCAATTCGATTCTCCGAAACGATCGAACGGAATAACGGAGGGACGAGGTGCATTGGTAAAACCAGTGGTTCGTATCGGCGGGTGAAACGAGCCGCTATGGGGCTGGCGGTGAGAATTTTCCAGCTCGCGAACGAAATCCGAAATTTCGGTTCCTCGCGGCGAGAGTGACGCAGCGGAATAATAATTCCGGGACAATGTGTCCCGGCAGATAGCACAAAGCGTAAATCAGCATAAACATCGGTAAAGCCCCGCCGACAATAATTCAGCATAAATGCATAAACATCGGGCGTAATCTTTACAATTCGCTGGGAACCCTCCACCACCAGCAACAGCAACGTACACCAGCAGCGATGGTACCGTTGCTGCAGCTAGCAGCAGCGGTGCGACCGCGCACCACTTCCAACTGTGCGATAAACAACGCGTTATATCATATCGGTGGACATAAGCCGCGCGGTAGTTGCGCTCGCGGCAGCCGCAACAAGAAACAATAACAATTAGTCACGATTGTCCGCCGGTGGCTACGCGAATGTCGTTAGTGTAACGATTCGTCATAAACGTCATTGTGCCGCCAACGATCGACGGACTTTCTCGATGTCGACGAGTCGATCTTGCCGCGATCGGTGTAACAGAATATCCGTTGACGACGTGATCGACGATTGTTTCAAGATACGTTTCTCATTGTAACATTATACGAAAGATTCTGTTTTTGTGTATTTTAACACTCTACGTTAGCCTCATGATGCGGATCTATCGACGAAATTAACCCTTTGTGCCTCTGCATCGATTTGGACTCTAAATTCCGTTTCTAATTTTTGTACCAGCAGAAAAATATGAGAATAGGCTCAAATTTCGAGTAGCGTTTCCAATCAGGTTCTTGATTATGAACTAGATAGAGTAAAGTGTCAGATGTGACTTAGGACGTAAAAAGTTTAAATTTTGTTAGACTAGAATGACGAGTCCGACTCGTCGTGAGTTTCTGAGTGCCAAACTGAACACGAAAAGGAGATACACTCGCTTCGTGAATAAAATTATACTTAAATATAATACGGCAAATATTCTTCGCGAATAGTTAACTTTGATCTTCAATAATAGCATGCATATATATCATTTTTCTTATAAACATTAGAATTAATAGATTCCACCCTAAAGGTATCAGATCGGTGCCTATAAAACGAACTGTGAATTTTTTATTCGATATCGAAGTTTGCATCCCATCCTAACCTTACACTCCGTTACTATTCTTCTCGTAAAAAATCGACCCCGATAGCTAACTTCAATGACCTCAGTCGAACCTCCGAATGGAACAAGAAATCCTCGAGACTTAGCTCCGTCGTCCATCCTCATTCGTAACTCAACCTCGTCTCACCTTACACACCGGATCACGGTGACGAGCCGGCTCTAAAATCGGCAACCCTTTAGCACCCTTCGATGCAGCATTTTCACTCTCGCCGCTTTCCTTCTCAGTTTCCTCGGTGCGCTAACAGGAGCGGGTAGATACAGCGGCGTAGAAAAGAGGGTTGAGGAGGAGGGAATCGTCGGACAGGCAGCAGCAGTGGCAGCGGCACAGCCAACGAACAGTCGAGGGGGTGAGCCAGGGGCGTAGGAGAGGGTAGGGCCGGCAGAGGAGCCGCGCAAATCCTTTTAAATCCACACAATTGCGACAATGGGGCTTTATTTGTTATCTCGGGGGCCACATTGTGAGTCGCCGTGAACGAACGGACAGATTACGTCGGGCCAGTGACGGCTTGGCTCCAGGGGAACCCGTTCCTACCAGGAGCGTGGCTCCAAGGGAACGACTTTTATCGGGCCCTCTCTTCTTTATTTTACGACCGTTTCCCCTACTACGATCCACCATCCGCGAAACCAACCCCTCTCGTTTCTGTACGCTGCCGTTACCAAAGTCGTCAGCGTCGCTGCCATCCGCCAGAAAAGCGGATTCGCCGTTACACGTCTCTGCCCGAAATTTTCTCTCGCTGTTCCACCTTCCCTGGCCCTGGCCACCCCGAGAAACGTTTCCACGGACGGAATGAATATTGAGGCTCCGAGTCGCTTTTTGGGGCTTCCAGGGGGATGAAACTGTTTTCAGTTTGTTTCAACGGGACTAATTATTTTCGCGATGGAAATCGTGGTTGAGTGTTATAGGGGATGTGCTTATTAGACTTCCTGCAATTCGTGGTGTATTATAGATTGTTTACTCATTAAGTTTGTGATCGTGAGAAATTTCTGTGAGTACTTTTCTCGAATGAGCATCTTTTTTCAGGTAAATCGAATAATAAAATATATAAATCATTTGGGGTGGATATCGTGATAACGTGGTTAAGTTTGATAGGATTTATATTGTACCACAGATAGTTTGTTTGCCGGGTTTTTAATTTCGACAACTTTACACGAATGCCTTTTGACGAGTGGAAAGTTTTTCCTTGTAACTAGAAAAATAGGAAAATGATAATATTTAATTTACAGATAGTTGTGAAACAACGAAAATACGTTCTATTTACATCTGACGAGGTGTATAGAAGAATTGAATTCTTTTGTATAGAAGAATATTTTTCATTCGACAATTGAAAAAAGCAATATTCGATAGCGCGAAAAAAGGAATCGAATCACAACTGACACGGACCGTGTGTCAATGCGAAACTTCATAATTCCTTTTGTTGGATTCGATCACGGTCACCGACAGAAAAGCGGATTCCGTGTTACATTTCGTCGATAGAATTCACGACCGAGTCGATTGATTCTTCTTTCTTTTACTTTCTCTATTTTCCCTTTTTTTTTTCTATTTTAGAAGGTTTCATATAGAGTGGGGAAAAAGGAAGAAAAATACGAACACTTGGCAATCGAAAGAGAATCGATGCTTTACGAAGAACTGACTTTATTATTCCATTATTTATTTTACGAGCTTCATCGTCGCGGCGGCCGATTCCGCGAGTTTATATTCAAGCCCAGACGTCTCCTATCAATTCGCTATTCGGCAATTTTTGTTTTGGAAAACCGTGATAGAACCGGATTCTGTCATTGATAGTTCGCGCATCGTACTTTTAAATTAATCCTCCTTTCCCCGTGTTTCCACCGTCTCTACGGTATTTCACCTTTATTGTCTTTTAACCGACTCACTTTATCTTCATCGTCCTTTGTTACCTTTTATCTCAACGCTTTTATTAATATCGCAACTATATGCTAGGAAGTCAGTGGAACTTTCTTTTCCAAGCCGTAACTTATATACATTTGTATAAATTTAATACGAAAATTTATGCCACCACGATAATCTAATTTTGACAATTAATCCCAGTTCGTACATTTTGATTATTTCTAATACCGAACAGATAATTTGAAATTGCTACATATTACTAAATATGCTTAAAACGCATAAAACAGTGTAAAATATGATATATTTGTGTATAGTATAAATTGATTAGAATATTAGATTCAAAGTAGCAATCTTTCTCTAATTAATCCCCCTCGATAGCGCGAAGGATGAAACAGAAATGATAAAAATGTCGTTCGATCGTGAAATCTCTCGAACCTGCTCATCGTACGGCGGGCTAAATAAACTCATAACAATGATTAAATATTCAGGGTCGGTAATAAAGAGGCTGTCCCCTCCACCTCCATAAATACCACTTCGGTCACCCTATTCCACCCCTTGGCTTAGCGCAGCACGCCCTTAGCTTTAGCAACAATGTACCGTATTATGAACTACGAGGTCCCCTTCCTCGTTTTTCATCCCCCTCACGGTTATTGCAGATACTCCACGATGCGATAATTTCGTTCGGCCACTCGTGACTAAAGAGCAATTAGCACGAAAAGAAAAATTTTTGACATCGATTGAAAGCGATACGAAACGCGTTTCCGATTTTGTTTATCGATTAAAACGATGATCGATCGTCGGATTTAACATTTACGAATTGCAGTGAAATTTGCCAATGTCGAATACTTAAAAATTGGGCCCACGAAGATGGAATTTCCATAATAAACGCAAAACATAAACTTGGTGACTTCGCACGGAACCTTTTAATTTTCTACCGAAAGACGATACAAGTGTAATTTTTTTTGTAATAATCGATTGAAGTTGTAAACTCACCTTAATCTTTTAGCCTCGTCGATGAAAGGTCGCTTCTCACTTTCGCTGAGCAGCTTCCATTCGGCGCCAAGCCTCTTCGAAATCTCGGAATTATGCATCTTCGGGTTCTCCTGAGCCATTTTCCGTCGCTGCCCGCGTGACCACACCATAAACGCGTTCATCGGACGCTTGATATGCTCGTTGTGCAGCGTTTTCGACGACATCTCGATCTCGATACCTCTGATCTATGATCCCTCAATCGATTCTTCCTGTTACAAACTTTCCCTTAATTACAATCATTCGTCGGTGTCGTAATTTCACACGGATCTATCAACGAACGGTTTCCTTCTCCACTACTCTTGTACTTCATCGTCATCAAAATGATCGCGGATCTCTTCGAATATCGCGTCACAACACCTTCTTTCTGCCGCATGCAACGTCGATCACGTGGCCGTCAAAGTCAACAATTTCCACATGCCGCGCCTCTCCCCTGCCT